AAAAACATTAACATTTACAATGACAATGTAAGAGCGAAATGGTGTCACAACAGTTTCCCTAAGTTAGTTTAAACAGTGTTCCAAATATTCAGTTACATTGTAGGGCTCAATATTTAACAAAAATTGTTTAATATGTTTTTTGAATAAATTTACACTCTGTATCTGTTTAAGTGACGCTGGTAAACAATTGAATAATTTAATACACATGTAATGTGCATTCTTTTCTGTTAGAGTTAGTCTGTGATATGGGTACATTAGATTTAAATTTCTTGTATTATACTGAGATGATGAGTCTGTCATAAAATTATTCCAGTTTTTCCTTACATACATTAAGCACTCAAAAATATACAGAGCCGATATAGTCATTATTTTGCTATTCCTAAATACCGATCTACAAGATTGGATGTAAGACATATTATTAATAATTCTTATAATTCTTTTTTGAATGACAAAAATTTTCTGTATGTCAGTGCTATTACCCCAAAACATAATTCCATATTTACAAATAGATTCGAAACTACCAAAGTAAATGATTTTTGTAGATGTACTATTTACATATTTACTAATTACCCTGATTCCATATATTACTTTACTTAATTTAGCAGCGAGCTCATCTATATGTTTTTTCCAATTTAAGTGTTCATCTAGATGCAGTCCTAGAAATTTTGTACTACTTGCTAATTCTGCTATCTGATTGTCCATTATGATATTGTTAGGTCTGTTTATTTGCCAGTAACTTGATGAAAAAAGTACTAGTTGAGTTTTATTCTTATTCATGATGAGACCATTCTTTGAAAGCCAGTCTTTTGTTAATTGTAAAAGTACCTCACTTTGTGTTATGGTGTCTGCCCCTACCAGTAAATTTGTATCGTTTATGACTGAATCACCCAACACGGTGGTCTTGAAGGCGAAAAAAGTTTGTCCCCGTAACGCAAAAACCGGGTCAGAGGGTTCGTTTCCTCTGACTCTTAACAATGAAAAATCTGTAAAGAGTGAAATCCCAGCTGTTCGCCTACTCGAGTTTTCCACCATCGAAATTTTTCAAAATGAAGGGAGCAGAAAGGCCCATAAAGTGTGTGTGTATGTGTTTGTGTATTTGTCCGTGTGTGCGTGTGGGTGTTTGAAACATGGAAATATATTTAGAAACTTGAACACAACATAAACCATCACAATAATGTGGAAAAATAGAATTTCAAGGATACAAAAAGAGCCAAAATTTTGAGGAATTTTTTCCATGTGTGTGTGTCTGTGTATCCGTGTGTGTACAAACCAATGTATTATTATGTAGAATGATATTATTATTATGAATTGAATTGTATTTTTATTCTTATGAGCGCCTTTATGTTTATAATATGAGACTCTCAATTTTGTGTGTGGGTTCCTAAGTGTTCTATTATTTTATTATTTTGATTAAAAATTTTTGGCACTTTGAAAAAGTTTCTTTTGTACTTTCAGATTTCTTTTGACACTTAGGTTACTGTGACAAACTAACTTATAAATTTGCATAATTGTGTCTGTATCAATTGATGGAATTGAGGTCAGGAAACGTCAAAATGGTTTCTGACTCTGAACAAGATATGCACACTGAGGGGGAACGACATGACATTGACAACACGACAGAGACTGACACAAATTCGCAGACTGATACCACACAAAATCCTAACAACACACAAACGGACTCGATTATGGCAACGCTGAATGGAATTCTTGGGAAAATAGAAGAAACCAATAAAGGAATCGAAAAGAAGATTGAAGATACAAATAAAGAAATCGAAAAGAAGATTGAACAATCAAACAAAGAAATCGAAAAGAAAATTGAAAATGCGAATCAAGAACTGAAGAAGGAAATGGGGAAGATAAGTCTCGACTTGAGAAATGAAATTAACATAGTTGAGACGTCATTGAGATTGGAGATGGCACAGACAAACGAAAAATTGGAGCATAAGATTGAAGAAAGCAGAAGTACATGTGAAACAAGAATTAATCAAATTGGAGAAGAAACAAGACAATTAGAAGAAACGGTGATACAAGAAAAACTACAGACACAATTGAGATGGCAGGTACAGGAAGAAACATGGCAGACTCATTTAAAAGAACAGGAAAGAAAGATTGAACAAAGGATTAGGATGGAAACACAGGGCATGATTTGTAATACGAGACATGACAAACAATCACACACAAGACTTACTAGTTTACGGTGACACAAGGACACATCCGTCTGTTTTTATAAACAAATTAAAAACACACGTGCAGACTTTACCTTCTACAAACTTAAAAAACTTTATCAGTAATACGATGAAAGGTGATGCAGATATCTGGTATCAACTAATCGAAGACAGGTGTGAAACGTTTGAGGAGTTTGAAAGACTGTTTTTGAATAAATACTGGGGGGAATTCCACCAACAAAAGGTGAGAATGAACTTATTTAACAGAAGATATAGCGATAGATTTGGAAGCTCAAAAGAGAGATACTTAATGAAAAAAATTTACATCAAACATTTGGAACCAAAATTTACCGAACTGGAAATGGTTAGGATGCTGGCAAGACATTTCGATGAAGAGGTGTACAAGGTGATAATTACACAAAGGATTAATACTATCGATGGACTTATAGAGTATGTCAGAAGCATAGACGAATATTTAACAAATGGGAGAAAAACTGATTTTGAAAAAAGAAACAGTCCCAGGTATGGAAATAATTACCAAGATAGAAGGCAACCAGAAAATAGAAACTACGAAGACAGAAGGCAACCAACTTTTAGAAACTATCAAGACAGAAGATATGGGGAAAATCGACAAAATCCACAACAGAACTACCAGGGTAACACGAATTGCGCCATGTGGTTGAAAAATAAACATTCCTATTGATCAATTGAAAAGGTATCGTATAACTCCAAACTGAGAAAATCTGATAAAGAAGTTCCTCCAACCGGAGTTTACTTTGTTAGATCCACGATTTCCATCGAGCATCTGTACAATATGCAGTCAGATTCTAACCGAGAATGACAATGATACTGTCACTAAGAGACCATTAAAGCATACGTTTATTTTTCGACCACATGGCACGCAAACTTTTTCTCGATTTTGATCATGACCACATTTATCTGGCATTTTTGCTCACTAGATTATTCTCAAAAGTATTCTCGAAGGTACTGAAAGGTATTCACACGGTTACGAAGTAATAAATTTCGAAATCAGGACAGCTCCACGAGCGTGTTCCTGGAACACCGACTGCAAGACTACCGACTTGTTTACACATGCTTCAAGTTTATATACATTGGTTTGTATATGTTTATTGCTATTTTCATGCACACACACACACACGGATACACAGACACACACATGGAAAAAATTCCTCAAAATTTTGGCTTGAAATTCTATTTTTCCACATATTGTGATGGTTTATGTTGTGCTCAAGTTTCTAAATATATTTCCATGTTTCAAACACCCATACGCACACACGGACAAATACACACACAAAAACACATACGCACATACACACACACCTTATAGGCCTTTCTGCTCCCTTCATTTTGAAAAATTTCGATGGTGGAAAACTCGAGTAGGCGATCAGCTGGGATTTCACTCTTCACAGATTTTTCATTGTTAAGAGTCCAGGAAACGAACCCTCTGACCCGATTTTTGCGTTATCGAAAACAAACTTTTTTCGTCTTCAAGACCACCCTGACAATGTGTCCCACTTTTCATGGAGACACCCTAATATCTCGCTCACCTGATATCCAAATATTTTGAAACTTTGGTGGTGAATATACACTACTGGACAAAAGTAAAACAAAACACAGCACATTTAGAAACATCTTTGTACAAGATTGTGGGTTCAAATGTGTTTGAGATATGGGTAGTTAAAAAAACATCTTAAAATAATTTTATCTGTAAAACGGGCTCCCAAATGAAAAAAATGTATTCTTATTTTTTGTCCAGAATAATGTTGATTCTAAAACAAAATATGAATTTTTTTTATAAGGCAAAAATTCTAATTTGAACACATTTGAGCCAACGATGTAATCTTGTACAAAGGGGTTTCTAAAGGTGCTGATTACGAATATCTTACTAGTTTTTTTCTAAAAAAAATCGCTAATACTTTGTGTATTGTACATATTAGTTTTTTTTTTTTCGGGACCTCTGATATATACTTCTCTACACTACTGCTAGCTGGATAGCGACTTTCTTTGTGCGACATCCGAGATCACACCTAGAAAGGCCATCACAGTTCATACGATTATGCTTGATAAGATGAATGTAAAAATCCAATGGCTCAACTGTATTAATCACTATACAATTAACCAGGAATGAAAACAGAACTTAAAAAAATTTTGAACGGTAGCGATAAACCAAAGGCGATTATTTACTTATGCAAATAAATAAATTGTTCTTTGATGATGTTAAATAAATTATTTGTCCATTCAAAGAGTCTTTTTCATTCTTGTTCCCAGGAATTTTACTGTAAACATGTATGTGATAAATTATTTTTCCAACATTATTGTTCTTTCTTTCACTTTCTGGTCAATTGTGCAGCTGTCTTAAGTCTGTGGTCCAATAATCATAAACATAATAACGTTTTCAATCCAGGAATTTCAAATTTTATTTAGTGAACACCAGATATCAACTTAAATTATTTACATAGATTTATTATTTTTACCTTCATGATTATTGGCCACAGCTTCAATAAAAATAACAAAATTTAAAACATACTTGTTGCATCTGGTTAATCATGTGCATTAAAGGATTAGTCGGTGGTGGCTGTTGGATGAATTGGAGATCTTGAGAAACTTGCTACAAGTTAAAAAAAATATGTAGATATATATTCTTAGATACTCTCAACTTAACCATAAAAAGCAATTGTACAAACTAATTTCTTAATGAATAGTGTCACTTTGTATGTGTTGTATAATTTTAACCTATTGAATACATCATTTCTCCCCAAGCCTTGAAAACGTTGGCCCAAATTTTCTACATCTAGATATTACCAATGTAAATCTTTCTGAACACAAATGCAGCTTACACAGTAATAAGTAATAAAAAATCATGGAAATTGCTCTACTTATAAAACTAACCAACATGTCAAACATTTTGTTAAAAAAATTTGTCAAAATATATAATGGGAGGTTCCGCGTCAAACGGAACAAAGCTGTGCCCAAAATTCTTGTTGACAGATGTAAACGAATAAGAACTTAAAAGATTCGTTAGGAATGCCCCTTTCGAAAAGCGAGTGGCTCCTTCGAAAAATTCAAAATGGCGACTAAAAGCAGCAGAAAATTCATATACTGAGGAAAGAACATTTGTAAAAAAATTATATTAAGATCAATTTAATCGAATATAGCATTAAAATATATGTATCTGTATAGTTTTGCGAATTTCAAATTGGCGGATTCAATATAGCCCCTACAATACCAAAATTCACAAAAAATCAGTATTAGAGATCGCACATCAATTAAATTTACTCCAATTTCGTGGATTCTGAATATTCTAGTCAATTTATCAAATCTCAAAATGGTGAATCCAACATGGCGCCCGTAGGGGTAAAAAACCACAGATATTATTAAAAAATCGATACTAACGATCCCAAAATCATTCATTTTAACTTGAAAAGGCTCACTGGGGGTTCTTTAGATCCATCGTCTGATTTTCCAGTCAAATTATCGAATCTTAAAATGGCAGATCCAATATGGCGCCCTTAATAGACATAAATTGCTGAAGTTCAAAGGAAATCCATTTGACGCGGAACGTGCCGATATAGTCATAATCCAATGAATAAAATTAGACATCCGAATTTGAAATAATTGGATTTTAATTAACTTTTGTCAATCCGTTTCTGGCATAATGGAGTATATGCATAAAGAAATGTGTAGCATTTTATCACTAAATATTATTCTCAAATGAAAGTTAATGTGAACTATACTTTGCAATGCAATTTTGCTAAAAAAATTTTAAAAGTATTTAATTTTGAACAGAAATATTATAACGGTATTGTAAATAAAAACAAAAAGTAAATTTTTACGGAACAGAACTTTTTCCTCTGTAACCGTCTTTTAAAGTTTAAGGACCAAGTCAGTAGTGGCGAAGCTTTTGCCGAGTCACCACTGAAGATGCCGATATGATGATAATGCTGAGAAAAATGACGAAATATTTGGAAGTATTGGATGATGATAATGTTAATCTGTAACTGACGGTAATCACGTACATAGGCCACAGCATAACAACCCAAAGAACCATCATCCTCTAAAAATAACATGATCCGTGAACTTGTTAAACCATATTTTATGCCTATGTGCATGTTACTTGTTCAATTTTCCTACATGTATGATTTTTTCCTTGTGCAAAAGGTAATTTATTTGCCTTTTACTTGTTACATTTGTTAATTAATAAATAATGCTAATCAGCTTTTTTTATAATTTCAAGATTAATGAAAATTAAATTAGATAGATATTTAGAAATGGTTCCCAGATTTACTCTCTCTGAATTATCCCTGTTCACAGTTGTCATTTCGTTTTGTAAAGAATAAATAGTGAAATACTTATGTAAATTTCCACCTTCATCTGAATTTCGGAAACTAAAAGTTTTTCGACAGATTTATTGAAACTTTTTTTGTTATTTTGATAAATTCCGTAACTGGTAAAGCTTAGCTTACACATTTTTGGACACCCTGTACAAGGTACAAACAATGTATTTTTACCCTTACCTGCTGTTGCATAATCAGTCTTTGTGCAGCGAGTTCCTGTTGTTGTAGGGTAATGGCACTCCAAGGTTCTGCTAATATTCTTGCTTGTGCCTGTTTATATGCTGCCATCTGAGACAAGTATTGGAATTGAAGAATATCGGGATCGGGCATTTTAGAAACATCATTTTTTAATGTTGGAAATCGTATACCAGTTTGGAAGGGGTTGGCCCCTCCGCATATCGTAATTAATTCACCTAAAAGGAAAAACCTTTCGTCGCACTGTCGCCTTACTTTTAATTGATTGCTGAAATAACCAGCTTTGTACCATTCCGCCATTTCTATATTGGAAAATGGACCTTGCATCTGGCCCTACAATAGAACATAAAATTTCGTCGTAATACATAGTTTAAGAAATAACCTGAAATATAAAAAGCTTCCTATCGCCAGAACAAATAAAAAAAAAATTAGTAACATTTTTTACTAAAGAAATTTCTAAGGATTCTAAGAATATTAAATATATAAAATGAAATACAGTTTTCAATCAGTTTGTCAAGATATTGGATGTCTCAAAATTTCAACAAGATTCGAGTTTGCACCATTTCTGTGGTAGTGTTTAAAACGAAAAAAAAACAGCTTGACAGCTGACAGTTCAGGGTTATTAAAAATGGAGAACTACACCAAAGAACACATTTTCATTGTTGAGCAATATTTTAAAAATAATGAAGATTACAATTCGTAATTTTCGTACAAAATATGGTCGCAATAGTAATTGAGTCTCATCAACTTTTGGAAAATTCTGGAAGACTGGATCAATTAGTGATCTTAAACACTCTGGCCGTCCTTCAACAAGTTTTTCAACACAAAACATCGAAGCAGTTCATGAGAGTGTTGCTGAGAGTACAGGATAATCAATTCAGTGAAGAATTGTACATTTCGACAAGCTTTCTACAGCAAGTTCATGCTTACAAAGTTCAATTTACTCAAGAAGTGAAGCCTACTGATCAGGCAGAGCAAAGAGAGTTCATTGAATGGATTATGGAACAAATAGATGCCAATTTTTTTCGTTAATAGACAAAATTATTGCATGTGGGGTTCAGAAAATCCATGAGTGATTGTTGAAAAACAAATGCATTCACAATATGTCACTGTTTGGTGTGGATTTTGGAGTCATTTCCTGGTCGTATAATTTTCCATTTTAGTGATCAGAATTGGCAGCCCAGATCATGCAATTTAACACCGTTGGACCTTTTTCTCGACATTCAGCCGCATTTATGCAAAACGGTAATGGAAAATTTCAACAAATAAGTGCGTTTGTGCCAGGAAAGTCACGGAGGCCATTTACCCGATATGCTATTCGATACCCCTATACTGTATACTTTATGAATCAATAAAAAATTTTGCAATTTTTAATTAAAAACCTGTTTTTTATCAAAATTACTTCTTGTGTGAATTTTGGGACACCCTTTAGAAGTGGCAAATGTTTGACAAGTATATCTGTAGTCTGTGATCAGCTTTACGCCCTGAGTATACAGGGTGTCCCACCAGGAATCGTCACTATCGATATCTCAGAAAGTACCTACTGATCCAATAAATCTGAAAATTTGGCAACCTAGCAAAACGAAGTAGGGCCAACACAGCCAAATTATTTAGAACTTTATGGCACTTCTGGATATACCAGACGTCGACATTAACTTTCTTATTTTAAATGGAACACTGAATCACTTTATTAAATATTCTCTATACCTAGGAGTTAGAGATTTTGAGATATTAATTTAAAAAAAAAATTGACAGATGCAAGGGTTCGCAGAGATGCTAGTAGTTCTTTTCAGGAGTGTGATATGAAGTGGATTTTTGGTACTTTTAAAGGGCATAGGTAACACTAAATTGTAGTATATCAACAAGTTAATATTTGCTGCGACATTTTGATAACTTCAATTATAACTTTGTAAATTTAAAAAACACCTTGTATTGACCCCGACAACACCCAGGCATGGCTTGAAAGAAAATTTCAATCTGCATACGATAGAGTAAAATAGTACAGGGTGTTCCATTTAAGTTAATAAAGTTATACAGGGTTCATAGTTCAAAAGTAATAAGGAATTCCCTGACTTTTACAGGTTTTTCCTAACTTTCATGAATATATTTAAAATTCCTCGACTATTCCCCGTTTTTCATGAAGAATAACGAATTCCCTGACTTTTCCCGGTATTCCCGGCCGCTATGAACCCTGTTATAGCTGTTTGAAGTTATCAAAATATAACAGTAAAAATGAAACACGTAGTATTAAATATTTTAATTTGTTGGTATACCATAATTTAGTGTTATGTACATATGCCGTTTTGCAGGTACCAAAAATCCAGTTGATATCACGCTCTTGAAAAGAGTCCACATTCTCCACGGACCCTTGCATATGGCAAATTTTTTCTTTAAAAATTAATATCTTTAAATCAATAACTTCTAGATATAGAATATATTTAATAAAATGACCTTCAAATTTCACATACAATCCGAAAATGCAATAATATAGAGAGCGTCTCATTTAAAATAAGAAAGTTAATGTCGACTTCCGGTGTAATCGGAAGTGCCATAAAGTTCTAAACATTTTAGCTGTGTGAGCCCTACTGCCTTTGCTAAGTAGGCAAATTTTCAGATTCATCGGATCAGTACTTTCCAAGATATCCATAATGGCGATTCTTGGTGGGACATCCTGTATGTATTGATAAAAAAAATAACACATTCTCAATCAGCTACAAATTAATCTTATACTGTCATTCATACAAATAATATTATTGTTAGTACAAAGTTAATACTTATATTTCATTTTCCAAAACAAATAATGATAACTAAAATATTTTGAACGTGATTTATAATCTTGAAATTTAGAAAAAAAGCAAAATAAACTAGAAAATAAAACAATGATCATATTTTTGTTACCTGGGGATCTTGATAGAACCATTTGTCATGTACTGGAGCTACTAAATTAGGTGGGGGCTGCAAGCCAGCCATCTCAAAATTACTCGGCGCTTGTTTAGGTGGTTCTTCATCAACTACAAGTTTAAGAACAAAATCTTCTTGCAGCCTTTCAAAATCAGATTCATCATTTCTAAAAAATAATATTTCGTTTGTAGTCACAATCGGTTTTAAGTTGGATTTGAAGAACTATAGAATTCCATTCCAAGAAGAGCAAAGTGTGTACCTTTGTATATCTTGTACAGGCCCATTTGTTATCACTGGTTGCTTATCACTAGGCTTTGGAGGACCCTCGGATTTGGCTCGTTCCTGAACAATAACTTCTTTATCTATTTTTTCTGGAATATTTGGAACAGATTTTTTTCTCTCTACTATTACATTATTTTCCTTGGATTGAGTATTTTCGTTCGCTTCCTTTGACAATCCCTTGGATAATACAAAAATAATTTATTTTATTGATTGGCTATACCTATAATTCTAATACACTGTATTTCAATTTTTCTTTATTTATAATTTATATAAAAAAATATCATTTTACATGAATTAAAATTAATCAATGTGAGTTAATACAGAACCTTCATAAATGATTATAAGCCACGTGACTAGTAATTATTTTATTTCAAACTGTAATTTTAATTCTTTCGCGTTGACAATAATATTTTAGTAAAATCAAAAACTACTAAGAGAATAAGATCAAGATTATGTTAATACACATTTCATTTCACCGGTTGGTGATTGGTGTAATTTTTTACTTTTCATTCAACCAATCAGCGATCGGATTATCTCGAGTGTAGATCCAATGGCTTATTAGTGTTTATTGTAAACGAATCATTATGAGCGATTTTAATTGCTTCCTATTTGCTACATTTAAGTCGTACATATTTCACAGCTAAACTTTTCTGATATTTCATCGGAATACTGGTAAGTTTTAACAGAAACAAAATTTTGAAGTTAGTAATATTATTATTTCAGAACATATTAAGCTTTTTACTCTAGAAGATGCTCTTACTGTAAAGGCTCAGTTTCAAAGTGGGACTATATACGGGGTGTTAAAAAAAGAGTGTAAAATATTTAAGGAGGTAATAGTATGAACCAAAATAAGCAGAAAAGTCTCAATAAACATGTGTTCGCAAAGTGAAGGTTGCGGAGATATGGAATGTTTTATGTTTTTTAGCCCCTTTTTTTATTTTGCAAAAACGTTGTGTATTTTCTTATAATAGTTGGTTGATGTTTAGTGAAATAAACAGTACGTATTTGACAGTTGTTCTCAGTGCACAAGTTTTCTTTCGCTATGGCTGGTTACTCTAACGCAGAATTAACAGACATGCATTTCATGTATGGTCGTGCTAATGGGAACGCCACCGAAGCGCGACGTCTTTATGTTGACGCTTATCCAAATCGCCAGATTCCTTCACAACGCATGTTTGGAAGAATTCACCAAAGATTGCGTGATACCGGTTCCTTGAGCAAACAGTGCCATTTATCCGGAAGACCAAGGTCGGTATCCACTCCTAGAGCAGAAGAAGAAATTCTAGCACTGGTAGAGCAGAATCCAGGTACGAGTGTGCGGAGAATATCAGCCGAGGTAGGAATTAGTGGTCCTCTTGTTTGGA